AGAGGTTGAGCTGTATTCCCTGTCACACAGCTCAAAGTTGTGTTAACCTTTAAGACAAAAGGCTGTGACGTGTGTGCTTCTGCTAATCCTGTGAGGAAAGCCATCTGAATGTCATGTATTCTTCTAGCTGCCATCAAAATCTGATTTAAAATGTGTGGTTGAGGTCTCTGAGGAAACTATTCAGCAAGTCTAGCTGAATTGTAAGGGCATTTTGGTCTTTCTGCAAAGTGTGGCTCTAACTGCGCTGAAGTTCTTTTCTCATTTGTACTACAGTTCAATTAGAGGGACCCATAGCACATAGAAAATCATTTAGTAGAAGTGTGTACTTCTAAAAGATCTGCTGCTGTTTGTCTTTCAGTAATTCAAGTTGAGTGAAATTTGTGTTAATGACTATTTGTTATTGGACATACATCTAAACATCCAAAAACAAACCTTAAAAGCGCACATTACATACAGTACATTACAAACACAATAACACAAAACAATAAGTGAATGTGAACACTTTTAAAATCTCTCCTAACTTCTTTCTAACCTCTTTTTACTTTTCAAAAGTCACAGTGTAGAGTTTAAGGAAGATACTACTGACAGTATAAAAAATCTGGAGTTCTTCACAGATTTTTCATAATGTGTTAAAATATCTGTTGTTCTTGAATTCACTGTCTGGCCAACAGCTACCACAAAGCAAGACGGCAATGAAAGCATGAAGCAGATCAATGGGGTTACAGTGTGCAGTGGCCACATTTCTTTGTTTCATTAACCTTGTCAAAGCACATTTCACAGTAGCCTATATATGAAAGTGAAAAACACAAGGTCTATTGCGTAAGTGTATTTATTTGAAAGAGGCCAAATCTTTCCCCCGAAGATGAGTGAAATGGGGACAGGTCGATAAGCTGGCTGGGCTGGAGGTCACTATAGTACAAGTATTTCTTCAAAGTTTTTGAACACAGAAAAAGAGCCAGTCTAAAGTGTTCAAGACAAAGAGAAGCACAAAAAAACAAAAGAACAACATTTTTGGAAGGGAGACTCTTTGGAAATTCATTTTATTCATGGCCCCATGACAATTTGGTTTCATTTTATTTGACCCATCTTTAACCAAGTAAGACCCGCTGAGATCACTGATCTCTTTTACAAGGGTGACCTGGCCAAGACAGCAGTATAAAAAGATATAAGATATACATATCCACATCAAATAATTAGGATAACTTTAAAATAACTACACATACTGACAAGTACTAGCCGCAACAGTCATCATTGTACTTGCAGTTGATTTAAAGTATGAGATAGAGACAAATTCCTTTAGTTTCAAGTCTTTTTTTAAGGGCGTTTCAAGTGAGGAGACCAGAGCACATGAAAGCTTTTTCTCCCAGTTTCGTCCGTACACCTGGAACTGACAACAAGAACAGATCTTGTGATCTTAGACAATAGCTACAATAAGATTTCTGTTCAATTAAGGTGGAAATATAAGATGGTAGTTTACCCAGAATGGCTTTATAAAAGTACCAATGTTTGAGTCTCTGAGATGTCATTGGAGTAATGTGTGCAATGATAAGTGAGAGCTTGTATGTATCCTAATGGCTTTGGTGATCCTCTGACAAATACCTGCAAAACTAATGACAGTCCCATCAGTCTCACCTGTAGTTTTTGAGTAGTGCTAATTAGCAAATGTTAGCTTGCTATGACGCTAAACTTAGCCATCAGACAAAAGACATTCTACTTGCTAAGCATGTTAACATTATCATTGTGAACATTCAGCTCAAAGAACCACTGTGCCTACATACAGAGCCACTAGCATGGCTGTAGGCTTGGAAAACACAGGTGACTCATCAAAACTCGCACAACAGAGTCATCTGAACTGACACATGGAGACAGTCTCCAACAGTTATCCCGCTAAACACTGCAACTCACAGGGCTGTAAGGAGGAAACGTAACTGTCCATCAGATGGAAAGCCAAAAGCATATCTTTGTTGTACAGCATGACGCAGTATCTCGATCATAGGGGCCAGAATGTCCCAAGTTTTTCCCTGGAAGAAGAAAGGCTGCAATGTGTCAAGTGGGTGACGTCATCTGCGCTAACTCATCAACACTAGCAACAGCATTACTTCTACACCTGAAAAAGCAGCCTTTCAAGCTGAACGTGACAGTCTTTCTTTTTTTCATGTGGGCATGTCATTTCAGTCGAATCAGGGGAGGAAGTGGTAAAGTTGCTGTAAGATGACCTCATCAAAAGCCTTTAACCTGCTCTAACAGAACACTCGAGTGATCTACAAAAAAGAGCTGGGGTGTAAAAAAATAATTTAAAAGGCTGGGCAGGTGAAAGATGAGCTTGATGTCCTGTTTAACGATGACTAGTAGTAGGCAGAAAAGTGAGGTCTGAAAGCCCACAACACAGCGAATGTTGGCTACGTTTGCTTGTGTTTAGAGAAGCTTCTATGGAAACCTTCCAAATGGAGGTACTATAGAAGGGATGATTCACCAGTCTGGAGGTGATCATGGCATTAGGGGTTGTTAGGAAAACTGTAGGTAAAGAAAACCTGCCCATGGGGTGAACTGACACATATTTGTTTAAATTCTTTTACTCGGACCATTAAATGGCTATCCTGCGGGAGGGGGAATCGGGGTGATGAGTTCCTCATGAGTATCTGGTCTTAAGTGTGCATTAGTGTGACTAAACCTTAAGTGTCTATAGACAGATTTTGAACATGGTGGTGAAAGTGTGGTGATGACTGATGATGATTAGGGTATATAGAGATCTAAATAAGGTTCGGGTGTGTCCAAACTGATCAGTAAGTGAATAATGAAGATGTATCTGACCTGTGGGTGTGTAGATGTTTGACAAAGATTGTGAAGTCCTGATTAGTACAAAGTGGCAAAACGCCCAGAGTCACCTACTGTACAGACAATAATTCCCATGCTACACCCGTCATGTGCATGCCAAAGACAATCAATCCTAAGCTGCGGTCATCGCGGCTGCTCACTCACACGGTGAGAAAGGTCCTGGCTTTGCTTGGTTTGAGGTAAGCAGCTGCATCATAAATTCGTTTTTGAAATAACAGAATCCAGGATATCCTGTGGTTAACCACCAAGGCACAGATATCCGATTGTCTAACCAAAAGGAGAACCCACGCCTGTAATCCTGTTGGCTCTGACCGATGGAATATGGATGTTTCAGTAGATTTCAAGAAAACAAGAGTGACTCCAGATGCCCTTTGGCGTGAGGAAAATAACTGATTTAGTTTGCACAGTTGATTCTTGATAGTATTTGCTTGGCAAGTACGTACGCAAATACAGAACCTTTGTGGTTGATTGCTTTGAAACATTTAAGCCAAAATATTATTTTACAATGAAAAAAACTTACACACTTTTATTTTGTAATACACCTCACAGCATTGTCAGTGCAGTACAAATGATTCATGTGTATCCTACTCTGAAACTAGCCACTGTTGTGATATGAGGTGAAACTTCAGCAGCCCAGCCCCAACTACACAATGAAGACATCCTTAGAGATGGCCTGTGTTTACTGCCGGGTTGTCAGGGAGTCCTCCACAGTCAGGCAATAAGGAAGGGGATTATTTGCTTTGGCTGTGGAAGAAGACTCTAATCAGATCACTGTGAGATGTGGACACACTATTTGTCCTCCTCGCCACCCAACTCTCTTCATCCCTACGTAGTTTCTGTTCACCTTTCACCTCCTCAACTCTGGTCTTCCTGTCATGTTTTACAAACATCTTCTCAGGTTGTGAAAAACGTCTTAGTGAATGGTTTGCGGTGAATGAAATCATGAATGACAACAAACCCAGTGACTGCTGGGACACACACTTTTTATGTATTTGGTGTGTGCATCAATCTGAAGAAAATGCCATGAAACGTCTCTTTTCATGCACACTCTCAAAAGCAAATGTCAGCCTGTATAATTGTTTTCTCTCTCATTTGCTCTTCCATTGGCTTCCCTGCTACCCAGTAGGTGAAAAGAAAGAGGACAAGATAAAGTAGATTGCTCAGTTTGGGGGGATTTGTCATGTCTAATTGCCACATCGTCTCCCTTATCTGATCTTGCAAGGCCGCTATTGTAATGAAACACCAGTGGAGACAAGCCAGGAAAGGTGAGGATTACACAGCGTGGGCCATTCATGGCACAATCCATCCCTTCATTGCTCTGGGTTTTCCACACTCTTAGTCCAGGAAGTATAGCGGGGCATGTGAGGGCTAGATGTGGGCTGAAGGAGGATGGCAGGAGTGCTGAGGTAACCACTCTGATAAGTGATGCATCTCTGCACTTCATTGTGCATTGTGCATCGACATGACAACCCCATTGTGAGGACGCCCTGTAGAGTAAAGACGCAACAAAGGCTGATTATTTTCTGTGAGGGAAAGATCAGGTTCCAGCCTGTTGATGCTTTAGTGTGTCAGGAGGATTTTAGCAGGTGTGGGTTTCACACATCTTCAGATGACTATTATTAATGATGAACACTTTAATTCATCAGGTCAGTTTTGTTTGTGACAAGGCTAAATCTGTGGTGTGCAAGCCTTTGGTGCACACGCCATGGTTTCACTAGGTATTTCACAAGATAATTTTTTTATAGCTGAAAACTTCTCGACATTATTTACTTTTTAAACCAGTGCCAGTAACCTCAGTGGGTGATAAAACTAAATACTGATAACTGCTGCTACATTTTCAAAATAACAGAAGGCAAACCCTCTTCTAAACTATATTTGAAATGAACCTCAAAATCACTTTTTTTTTTTTAAAGTAAGGGGATTTAGTAGTGACTGAAGTTGTCTAATGTCCAAATGTCCAGTACAGTATGTGGGTATGGAGCAGACATCTGATGCATTTTCCACGTTCCAGTTCAGATAAAAGAAGGAGTTAGTGGTTGAATTTAATGGAAAGTAACAGTAATGGTTTTGAATTATGGTTTGGACTGAATTATGGGTATCACTCATGCGGTTTGTTCACAGACACAACAAAAATACATGTCAGACAAGCAACAGAGGATTCTCACTCTTATTCTGCCAAAATGCACTTTTAATGACATAAAATAGTGTGTTAAGCAATCAGAGAGGTGATTTATTGCCTGTTTTATGTGATGTAGTTGACATCAGCTGTGGCGATTCATTTCTTTGCTTGTCTCAGGCAGGAAGGCCTCTTTTGTTTGGTCTCTAACAGTCTTAAGGAAGGTCATGATGCAAGAGCCACCAGTGCCCCTCTCCTCCAATGCCGTGGGTGCTGTGCCAATCGTCTCCGCCTCTAAATCCTGGCTCTGGTTACGAAGTTGTCGGGCGCGGGCAGCGGGTACAGTGATGAAACGGCTGACAACATTGATGTGGTAGCTGCGCAAAGCCAACAGTTTTGTGACACACTGCTGGAAAGCCTCGCTTAGCCCCTCGCTAGCCTGCTGCTGGACAAAACTCTTTAGGGAGGGTTGCAACGAGATGTCCTGGATCAGTTGCTTGTGAGCAGGTGGCATGTAGTTCCTCATGCGGGTTAGAAAGGCACCTATGTAAGGGCAGTGTTGTCACAAACAGTCCTTCTCATTCCTCTCTGGCACTGTTGTAATCAATCAAAGGGAAAATCAGCCATCTTACCACTTTTTGCTTCATGTTTGACTCCTAGAAGTTCATCAAAGCAGTGCAGCAGGCTGCTCTGTGCAGCACTCCCACCTGAGAACTCCATTGGTTCCGTCTGGACCCCTTCATAAACCAACCCCTTTGGCATACATGGGTTGTCTTTCCACCTATGCATATGTACATGGACACAAACACATAATTCAAAAACATTGTTTCACTTTACAAATAAATTAATAATTAGTCAAATAAAAACAAAAACAGATTTCCGTACCCAGACAGGTAGATCCTCATAATGCCATAGAAGATCGAAGGCTCCACATATACTTAAGAAAAATCACTTTAATCAAATATACTTGTTGCTAGGGGGATATGGATACTTTTAAGGTATGTTTGCTTGATTACCATGCATCAGTTTGAGTGCATCTGTCATATCCTGTAATGACTGACTGATATCCTCCAGGGCTCTGGCCACAGCCTCAGTGTCGCCACACCTGACGCCATTGATCACAGTGGGAATGTTCTGCAACACAGATTGAGATGGCTTTGTCAGATATGTCCTTGATTTAATTGTTGTTAGAATGGGAATGGGTCAAGAATTCAAACATGATTAATTTTCTTCAAAAGTACATATTGTATCAAATTATCACCCTTAGTGCTGGGAGTGCTGCCAGCTCCACCAGCAGAGTAACCATAAAGAAACCTCGAACACTGTCTCCACCTGGGAGGCTGACCAGCAGCGCCAGGTTCCTGTATGATGCAAGTAAAACAACATCCTTTGCATACATCAGAATAATATAGTACATTATGTGGAGAGGAGCAGAATTGAAGTGAAAATGCACTTACTCCACGTCAAAAGGTCTGGCAGGGGAGACATTTAGATGAACATGAAAAATCAAGAGAACAGGTTTAAACCTGAAACTTGTTCAGTACACAACCAAACCACATGCAGTAGATATGTGGCCCCTTACCCCTCTGGATCCTTCTTCCTCCAGTTAGCCAGTACAGCGTCTGCATGGGTGAGAATTGGGGGAAGCCCTAAGCGCTGTGACACCTCCCAGTATGGAACGGCCAGGTTATGCGGCAGCATCTTAGGGGAAGATTATTGAAGATGGAAAGTCATTTATGTAAATTGTAGATTGTAGAGCAAGTAGACAGGGTGATACTTAGGGAAGGAAAGAGTCATTATGATAAAAAGAATATAACCTCAACTGGGTTGTTCTCTCCCTCCTGCCAGGCGTAGCCCATGGTCATCACGCTGAGGGCCAGGTGGGCCAGCCGTAACTCCCGGTGTTTCTGCAGAAACTGGCTGCTCAGCAGCGGCATCTGGACAGACAGAGTATCAACACTGAACCATGGCTTTTCAAATGTCTTTGTCGGTTTATTGTCCTCACTTACCTTGTTGACATGGAAGCGCAACTCGTGAGACTGCACAAGCTCTGGGACTCGCAGGGCAATATCCATCCATGGCTGGTAATACGGTGGGAGCTCTTCCTTTGAAAGTCCAGTTGGAGCACCGTGTGTATCATAAGAAAATGTTGGCCAGTGGAAATGAAACAGAACAGTACACAGACATGAGGGTATAAATGATAGGACAATCTAAGACATTTTCATTTTGACTTTTAAAGCCTTACCTAAATTTGCATTTCATTGTTTTATGTTGCTACATGAACAGTGACCCCGGACTTGGCAGAGTGTTTAAACAAATGTGATTTTGTAAACACATTCTGCTGTGGGAATACAGTTCATGACACAATGAAAACACAAAGAATGCCAAATTTTAACTACCCTCAGTCACTTGGTCTCACAGTATCACCAGCCATGAGTTCACAGTTTTATAACTGCTAAACTATTAGCACCATATTCATTTATTGTGAATTCAGTTTAGTTTCAGTGAAGTGACGGCCTATGTTAGACTTAAATTCAAGTTTTGAATCCATTTCAGAGACTGAGGTTTTCTGACAATGGGTCTATTTCATTATGACAGCTTGTTTATAACATGAAATGTAAGAACTGTGAAGAGGTAGAGACGTAAACTTATCCAGAGGGCTTTTCACCTACCAGAGGATCAGGGAGGATGAAGCCAAGCTCCTCAGAGACATGGTAGGAGTCCAGAGAGAAAAGAGATTTGGAGTCGGATTCAGCAGCAGCCATAGAGAAACTGACAGAAACACACAAAAAGAAACGATCCGATTATCTGAATGGTTGAAGAGATGGTATTTGGACACATCTGCTCCCCACAGACGTTATTGGGAAGGACTGGTGTATCATCTGTGCACAAAATTGGACTTTGATGTATGCACTACATGCAAGTTGAAAGTGTAAAGTCATGTTATTTGTATGCAGATTGAAGAGACTGGGTGAGAGACCCCAACCTGTCTGGACTTTGGCACAGGGTTCACTTTAAAGCTATTGTCAACAATATTTGCAGTTGCTTACACAACATTTATCCCTCAATTCTGCTGTTGCACAACTCTAAAGTAAAGTCTGGCAAATCAGTATGCTTGACTTTGTGAATCATTAAGAAGGGGACATCCACTGTTATCATGTTATGTCACCGTTTGACAAACTCCTATTGAAATATACTGCTGCAGACCTTTTTTTTTTTTTATTTTACTTTTTTCATTAATCACAAAAGCATCAAGTATCAATGATGTGTACATCACAAGACTTTTATGTTAGATAACATTTTTTTACAGAAGCCCTGAGAGGCAAGTGAAAAGAAGTTCTGGTGATCGGTGGCTTCAGGGACTGTGCTCTGTTCCTAGCTTCAGCTTTCTGGATCACTTTGATGTATATTGATATAGGAGTAGCTTGTTTAAAAGAGATAACCTATACCCTAACAAAAAGGGCACAAATTTGCACAGCAAGATCTATTTGTTTCTTGTTTTCTTTAATGAACAATACCCGGCCCTGCTTTCCAGTTCAGCCCCTCCTTCACAGGAGGAGTCAGATTATTCTCAACTGAACAAGATAACTTTGTGGTAGGAGAACAACCAATGTGCAAAGGGGGCAGCAATAGCTACATTCTAATACAGGTATATCCAATTCCTTGCCTTCCCATGTCAACTCCACTTACGCAATTGCAGGCCCTCATGTGAGATTACTTGTAGACAAATTGTTTTTATGTAACAATTTTATCCTTTCAAATGATTCATGATCCCTTCATGATTACAGAATTGTGGCTGACACCAAATGATCATGGTCTCCTACTCAAAGCCTTTAATGTTCCCACAAGTTTCTCTGGAGCGCAGGTCTCTGCAAGTGAGCTGCTGAATAATTTGAAAAATACATGTTCCTCCATCTCAAAATATATCACTCTATTAAGTCAGTCAAATCCAAGAATATTGTAAAACATTGTAAGCCATGTCACTGATACTCCCAGCCAGATATTGGATGCAACCCCTGAGAAATGTGAAGAATTTCTTTCCTTCTTTCCTCAAAAGATTACAGATTTAAGAAGTTTAATTTCTCCCTCAGATTCTCCAACTACTGTTGAGCGCGATGCAGTCTCCCTCTGCTCATTTAATCCAATCTCTCTGTCTACACTAAGTGATGTGGTAATGAACAAATTATAAACTTCTCTCTGTTAACTTAATTTTTATTAACTGAACTTACTGAACTTACTTAACTTATGCAACTAACACATTTATTTTAACCCAAACCATGATTTTTTCCTAAACCTAACTAAGTAGTTTGGTGCCTAACCAAACTGTGAGCAATATTAACCATGTGCACTTTCACAACGTTTACCATGTGTTTTAATTTGAAGGTCTAACCAGAACTTGAGGAGACCTGCGCATCAAGAAATAATGCTAAAGGGTACCCAGTGTGTTAAAAAGTGAGGTCAAGTGGCCTTGCCCAAGCTTCCACTTGTGATGACTTGGGAGTGAGAACAAGTTTCTTCATACATCTTGGGTATCGGTGACACTACTATACAATGGTTTAGGTCCTAAACTGAAAGACAGGCATTTCAGCATTGGCATCACTGAAGCCAGGTCAGCTGTAACAGCGCAATTTTTTTTAATCAAAACCTCAGCTGAGACAAACATGTAAAATGAATGGTTCAATCATACTTTCATCATCTCAGAAACATTTTAAGGATCACACCATTTCTTTATGCCAAAAATCTGGAAACTGTTATCCTGTCATGCTGTCATAACTTGTCGGTTAGACTACTGTAATTCCTTGCTCTCCGGCATCAGTAAAAAACATCTCTCTCCCATCACTATGCTGCTAGGATTTTGACTGGTCAGGCACCATCTTATCTTAAAGAGCTCATAGTACCTTACTACCCCACCAGAGCACTGCACTCCCAGAATGCAGGGTTACTTGTGGTTCCTAGAGTCTCTAAAGGTAGACTAGGAGCCAGAGCGTTCAGCTATCAAGCTCCTCACCTGTGGAACCAGGTTCCAGTTTGGGTTCAGGAGGCAGACACCATCTCCACATTTAAGAGTAGGCTTAAGATTTTCCTCTTTGATAAAGCTTATAGTTAGGGCTGGCTCAGGTGAGTCCTGAACCATCTCTAAGTTATGCTGCTGTAGGCCTAGACTGCCAGGGTGCCCAATGCCATGATGCACTGAGCTCCTCTCTCCTCTTCTTTCTCTCCCTCTGCATGCAACCTCATCCCATTAATTCTTCCCTTTCCGGTAGTCTTGTGCTTTCTCGTCCCTCTCCTCTCTCCTCCTATCACTTTCTGCAGGTGTTTCTGGCTCTGGAGCTGTGGAGTCTGGATCTGTGGTTACGAGTCACCTGCTGCCCCCGTGTTCCTGCTCAACACCCTCTGCTTCAATTATTGTTAATAGTCCTATTGTTATTATAATAATTAACATTACGATTATTATCATTAACACTACTATAAATATCTGTACCATTTTTCATTTACTCTATAGCAACATCGCCTTTTCTGTCTGTACCTCTGTGTGTATATTGTGAAAGCTGCCTCTCTCCCCTCTCTCTCCTTCCATCCTTCTCTCTCTCTCTCTCTCTCTCTCTCTCCCTCTCTCTCTCTCCTTCACCCCCAACCGGTCGAGGCAGATGGCTGCCCACCCTGAGCCATGGTTCTGCTCGATGTTCCTGCCTCTTAAAAGGAAGTTTTTCCTTGCCTCTGTCACCTAGTGCTTGCTCTTGGTGGGAATTGTTGGGCTTCTGTAAATAACATCACAGAGTATGGTCTAGACCTGCTCTTTCATGAAAAGAGCTCTGAGATACCTGTTGTTGTAATTTGGCGCTATATAAATAAAATTGAATTGAAATGAATTGAATTGGTTGTTCCTAAGTCCAGATTTACACTGAAAGGTGATGGAGCTTTTGCTGTGACTGTGGAATGACCTCCTTGCTGTAAGGAGGGCTGCAAACCATGTCTCTTCTTTTAAATCACTTTGAAAAAACCTATTTTTTGAAATACATTTTGTTGATTTCATTGATGTCTTATAACGTTGGAGTCAATTTTACTCTCTTTGAGTTTTATGAGCTTAGTTTTTATGGCTTTTAGTTAGTTTTATTTAACTTAAGAAACTTACATAACATAACTAAAACAAATCAATGTTGACTTTATGTTTCACATGGGAAACCAACACCGGTGTCCTGGGTCAAAGTCCAGTTTCTGACCCACTGGTCCCCCAACCACCTCCTTACTCTGACTTTTCTGTTATTTGTACTAGGCCTACTTCTGGTGTTGAACAATTACGCTAAAAGCTTCCCCCAGTGCCTTGGTACCAGACGCCGAAGGACATGACATGGCGTAGGTATTTGATGCCTTGGGAATGGGAATGGGCTGGATTTTTCTGTAATCCCTTTCTGTCATTACTTATGACCTGTTAGAAGTGTGTAATGGTGTCTGTATCTGCCAAAACCTTGCCCTCTGCCTATTTTATCTTATTTGGCAGTGTTCAGGACATTTCTGGATCTCAGCTTTTTGGAAGTGGGTTTAGCCCCCAGCCAATAACAGCAGCAAGGTGTGAGGTATAAAAATGTGGCAACCAGGTTACATTGCTGTATCTGTCTCTCTCCTTGGCTCTCTGTGTCAAAAATGTCGGCTACTGTAGAAAGAGCTGCGCGTCTGTTTGACCGAGGGCGGGGCTGAGCTACACATACAGGCAGAGCAGAGAGGCCACAGAATTGGATGAAGCACTTTGGCTACAGTCATACAACCCTTTCTGCAAGGTTGTGCAGAGGTTTGATTGTGTTTGATTTGTGCCTTAGAATGTAACTGCTGTGAAACAATCAGAAAATGACATTTAGTTTCTGTGATTTACTGCTTTGTTCTTGCTGACACCACTCCCTCTCTTCATTCACTCTCTAGCTCTGCTCTCTCTCTCTCTCTTTCGCTCATTGAGGTTGGGAGGAGGCAATTGATAAATGTCATTCTGCCTTTAAGAACAGGTTTGGGAAAACACCGTTTGCTGGGATAATCTTTTACTCTTTATAAGTTCCATAAAAAATAATGTGAAAAATAGTTTTTCATTTAAACCACAAGAGGCTGAAATGAGTATTACAACAACAACACTTCTTTCACCTGTTTTCACAGTTGAAAAAACAAATAAATGAGCATAGAAAGATTATTCAATTCAATTTTATTTTATTTATATTGCACCAGTTCATAACAGAATTTATCTCATTGCACTATAGAGCAAGTCCATAATCACCATAATCTTTATTGTATTATAAGATTATAATAATAATTTAGATCAGACTTAGAACTCAGATCTTTCTCTCACTTGCTTCTCAGCGCTTTCATAAATTTTCCAAGTCGTGTGTGAAATGCTGCACTTGGTTCACTACTTTTTCATTTTATCAGGCAGGTATGAATGTGTAACATTGCTGCATTTATAAAAAATATAATTACTATACTTTAGACAACTAAATCAATCTTAAATTGCTTTTACAGTAGACAAAAAGGCAAGAGCAGCCTACTGCTTCGTGTAACAGCACTGCCGATAACCTAGTTCAGCAAAAAGTGGCTGAAAGGCCAAAACATTAAAAAACAATCTTGATTTCTGAGAACACGAGTAAAAGGGAAATACAAAAGGTTATCTCCACCTCCACATCCAGTTCTATGTCCTCCTCGTAAATGAACCCCTTAGGTAAGTGTCACATGTTGACACTAACCTCGGGGCTATTATATTTATAATTATGTTTTACTTGTGAATACCTGTGTTTCATATTTTGATTTCTTCAAACAAGCACCTTAGCATAGCTTCCACATATCATAGATTTTTCTTTTGTCCTAGTGATTGACATGCTTTAAAGTTTGTAGAAGACCTCCACAATAACTACATACTTGTTATCATGGAATATGTGTCACAGTTTTGCTTTAGGTTCCATTTATTTTAATTTTGAAGAAAACTGTTCCACCCGTTGCTCTGTTTTTATGTCTGGTGTTGTGGCCCAGTATTAAAGAAAGGAATGAGGAAATGTTGACTGTCAGCCTCACCTGGTGGAGCAGATTGAATATTGCAGGAGTTCCAGTAAAACAGGCTATATTCTGTACATATGGACAAACTTAAAGACTGAATCGCTATCAGTCCTCCACAACAACACCAAAAGTGTATTACTACTACTGTGTATATGAAATGGTTGCAATCATTCTGGAGAGCTGACACACTGTGTCCACTTAGACAAGTAATTCAATCAAACAGGATATAAATCTGTAAAAGCATTTTTACAGAACGAGGAATGTGTGAATCAGCTCAACAAGTTGAGCCATTTCTTTCACAATAACAGCAGAGCAGCTTTGGATTAATGCATTCTGAAATTTGCAAGTAGAAAGGGCAACTGTAAATTGATCCTCTTGGTCCTGAAACAAAGTTAAGATGTACTAACAGTGCATTGCATTGTTAGACTGTGCCTGTGAATGACATAGTTTAGAGGAACACAGAGTGACAGAGGTAAAAGATAAACCAACTGTTGAGAATTTGATTTATTGTGGATTTATGGCTGTGAGGACAGAGTTACTAAACCGAACTGGAGTGGAAATAACCCATTGTCTGTGCACTATGGCTGTCAGTACCTGTGAGTGGTAAGTGGCCATTTATTTCTTATAGATCAACTATGGCTAGTAATTTCTTTGCTTTGCATCATGAGGTTGAGATATCTCACCAGCAATTGCACTGCCGCAAAGTGCTGAACAATAACAAAACTGAATTGCCAATAAGAGCCATTGCTGCCTGTGTCAGCACTGTTAAAGGCAAGAGAAAACCCATTCTCCTAATCATTAACACCATACTAATAACCTTTTTGGCTAATGTGTGATAACCCTGATGAATAATCTATCAAGTCCAGTGCACACCAAGCAGATTGAAGTTATTGTAAGGTGGCATCAATTGAGTTCCTTTAAATTTTTAAAACTATTTTTAGTATTTAGAACAAGTGTATCATCACAAAAACAGTGATTCAAACCTTGGTGGTCTTAAATATGGAGTAAAAAGCTGCAAACATGGCAGCATTATTGGCAAAAACAGTAATATGAGATTTTTGGTAATGTGCAAGAAGTAACATTTAACAATAAAAATAACATGTAACTGCATTATGATACTGTAATTTGACGAGGAAAATTATCCACTTGTGGATGTCAGTCAGTCAGGATGTCAGGAGTATGAAAGGCATTTACCTGACATGAAGGGTTCAACAAAGAGATTTGGTTGCATCATGCAGAGGCATAATGCACTATTTAAAAGAACCAAAAGAGTTCATTTGTACCAGGGAACAGCTGATTTTCAAGCTGAACAGCTAGGATGACTCATGCATTTCTTTTTGCAGGCCTCTTGAAAGATACTATGATAGGTGGATCTTTGTGTGCCATCTGATACCTTTTTTTACTAAATTTTTTCATGTGTCTGCCATTCATGCAACCACTGCATTGGTGCACACACACACTGGTGATGCACACACACAGTAGTCTAGTTGAGCCCCACCTGTCCCAAGTCAAAATGTAGACATGTCCCTGGATATAACACTATCAATTAACGCTTAAGGGAGCTGATCATTCAAGCTTAAGTCTGTTGTATAGTAGCCAACTGTGCATGCTTTATTTAACCCAGCGTGAATTCATCAGGGGTGTATAATGTATTTTATTATACTCACAATATAAATATCGAGATTCTTTTAATGGAGATGTAAATTAACACTGGAGCCCAGTCTATCTCAGCTGCGTAGGAGCTGTGTGGAATGAGATTTGCGCGACTTTAAAGTGGATCAGTGTTTTATAATGAATGGGTTTTTTTCGTCGGTGCGCCTGCCTATTATTAGCTACGGAGGCCTTACAGTAAGTGGAGGTGGTTCCATGACGGTCAGGGCTGCAGCTCTGCACAGACAGGCTTAAGATCTACGTTCGCATTTTTGGCAGTACGATCGGACTTATCGCACTGATCCAGAGGACCTTTCCTGAAACATCTGCGGTCGGCCGTCTATTTTCAAACCTTGTTCACCTTGCCAAGAAGATGAAGTTAAACACGAGCTGCCGTCAGGTGCACGCCGCATCCGATGGATCCCTGCTTATTGTCTCGTTCATCGAACAACCCCATGCAACACTTCCTTATGTTGCGGTAAGAGGGAAATTACACATTTCCTGCGAGGAAATCAAACTGGTTTAATTTCCTAATCGCTAGTTTTGCGATGAACACGGAATCAGATAAACAGGCTGAAGAGTCAGTGACGGGGTGTTGCATAACGTGTAATGCAGCAGAGCCTCATGACTAGTGTTTCGGTGGTGGAGGGACTGTTCGGTCCTTCTGGTAGGATTTTGACGTTTTTATCATCTCTATTGTGGATATCAACCGAAGCTGCACGCTCGTTTAATAGTTATTTATTTAGGACGATAGTCGGAAGGCTCGTGTATGGGTTATTTAGATTATCTGACCATATAAAATGATTAATTATTTCGCGAGTTGCGCAGTGTAGACCGTAAGAGGAAAGGGCATATGAATGAGCAATATTAGAGGTGAATTTCTTTAGTGTCATACAGGCACAGCTTAAGGTCAAACTATTAGATGTTGTCTTTGTAGGCTATATATTCATTAATGAAGGTGAGACTTAGCCTAGAGTGATGCAGTTTGTGCAGTCAATGAATGGCTGATTTTATGAATGGCTGCAAATGGCAAATTGTAACCCATTATAGTAATCTCTAGAGCATTGTATAAAAATATAGGCTATATCAAACTATAAAACTCTTGCTATAAGAGATAAATAGGTTACTGTTTTCTGTTTGCAGCATGACATCCTTTTGGTTGGAGTGTAGGTGACCAAAAGTGATACCTATGGTGGCCTTGCCATCCAGGCAGGTATGGGCTACAGGGCATCTGACCTCATTATTAAGTAGATAGCATTATCAGAGAATCAAAATATGAATGACTCATCTGGTCAAAGGCTACAGTTGCCAGTGCAGTAAATCGCTCAAGGGGGAAGATGCTGGGACAAAACCCAGATGGTGGTCTGGTGTTTGAGATTGGGACCCCTGGACATTCAGTACACAGAGTGGGATGTCCAGTGTGCTGCGGTGGCATAAGGCAGCTAACTCAATTAAAAAAGTGTTACAACTCTGGCATGACAGTAGCCTACCACATGCCATGTTTATATGCTGCTGCTGTTTTTGTTGTATAAAAAATCAATATCAGCGCAACTGATAGAGGATTGTCTGTTAAAGGCTGTGACACACAGAGATACAGGTTACAGTTCCCTTGGAAACCAGTCAGGCTACTTAATTCATCAGCCACCATTTTCAAGAGACAGAAATATTGTAGTCTATTTACCTATTCCCTCCATTTTATTTAACGATGGTGTGTTTTTGGATGTCAGATTTCTAGTTGTCATTGTTTTGAATTAGGACTGTGATGTTTGAAGCAAAGCTTAAAGGGTAAGGTTGCTTGGATTGTAATATAGGAATTGTAAACAGGGAAAGGTATTTTAGGCTTACAGATGGTTGAAGGGATTACATATCTGGATGGGATTGTATCAGTCTATGTTAACCCATAGTAAACAAACTAAACAGTCAATTTTGAAATGTGCTATTCCCTTACAAGTTAACTGAAGTGAAAATTATTTTTGCAGTGTTGGGCGTGTTGTAAACTCCATGGATCCCCCCCAAAACCTTTTTTGTTTGCTTGTTCATATAAAAAAATCTGGATCAGAAACAAGGACAGAGAAGTTGTGAATGGGCACAGGAAAGTCACGAGACGATCCATTGATAGCTCTGCAGGCAGAACGAGCAGTGCAGATGAGGAGTAGTCCCGGTGTCTAATGTCTGTATTGACCCATGTTCCTGTACTGTGCAGGACAAGAGTTTAGGATTTCTGGTGCTGATGCAGCTTTCTGGGCTTCTTTGCATTTTGACAGGTCCCATTTGACAGATTCTGATATGGACTATGAGAGGCCAAACGTTGAAACTATCAAGTGCGTGGTGGTAGGAGACAATGCCGTTGGAAAGACGCGCCTTATCTGCGCCCGGGCCTGCAATGCCACACTGACTCAGTACCAGTTACTTGCTACACATGTGCCCACGGTCTGGGCTATTGACCAGTACAGAGTGTGCCAGGAGGTGAGTATGCAAGCTCATAACATTTTAAGATTAAGTGCAAGCTTTCAGTGCTTTCTGGTCACTCTACTAAATTATATCTATACATAAAAAAAGCACCAAACACACTAAATGTGCCTTAAATGCACATTTAGCTGTAAGAATTCATTCACTAGTGACTTACATGAACTGATAAATAATACTGATAAATATCCCTGAATGTGTCATCTCTTATTAGGTATTAGAGCGCTCTAGAGATGTGGTGGATGATGTCAGTGTGTCCCTCCGCCTGTGGGATACTTTTGGAGACCATCATAAGGACCGGCGTTTTGCATATGGCAGGTGAGATATTGTAAAATTCAACGTAGATCTACCAGCACTTGCTCTGGTGCTACCTGAGTTAAGAGCACGTGTCCTGCATCTACCCTTCAGGTCTGATGTGGTGGTGCTGTGCTTCTCAATCGCCAACCCCAACTCTCTGTACCATGTGAAGACCATGTGGTACCCTGAGATCAAGCACTTCTGTCCCCGTGCTCCTGTCATCTTGGTGGGCTGTCAGCTGGACCTGCGCTATGCAGACCTGGAGGCAGTAAACAGAGCACGGAGGCCTTTAGCTAGGTAGTGGGACTACTACTACTAATTTTACATTTTCATGTGGAAGATTGTTTGAGATTTGTTTTAATTTACTTTTTTATAGTGCCAGAAATGGCTTTTAATATAGTCTCTCGTTTTTCAGACCCATTAAATCCAATGAGATCCTTCCTCCAGAGAGAGGCCGAGAGGTGGCCAAAGAGCTGGGAGTGCCATATTATGAAACTAGTGTTGTTGCTCAATTTGGAGTCAAGGACGTCTTTGACAATGCTATCCGAGCTGCACTTATCTCACGCCGCCACCTGCAGTTTTGGAAATCTCACCTCAGAAATGTTCAGCGGCCTCTCCTTCAGGCGCCCTTCCTGCCACCAAAACCTCCCCCACCTATAATCACTGTGCCTCCTCCCCCAACTACCACAGAGGAGCATCCAGTCGGTCTTCTGGAGGACCCCCACTGTGCTGATGTCATCCTGGTCCTGCAGGAGCGACAGAAAATCTTTGCACACAAGATATATTTGGCAACATCCTCTTCAAAGTTCTATGACCTCTTCATTATGGACACACAAAATGAGGAGACTGAAAGGCCCACTCGTGGTCCTCTCTCTGGCCGGGAGCTGCTGATGCGTGCTGCTAGCTTTGATGTTTGCGAGAGCACTGATGATGGAGACAGAGCCAACCTGAGGGCCTGCACTAGTGATGGGACACTGAAAGACTCCGAGATGAGCCGACGGGGCAGAATGCTGTCCTCGTGGAGCCGAGCCTTTGTCAGCATCCAGGAGGAGCTGATAGACGACCCTGTGACGTACAGCCCCAGGCCCATGACTGTAGTGCACATGGACCAGTCCATGCAGGTCGGCCCTTTCCGAGCAGTACTTCGCTATCTGTACACAGGTCAGCTAGACGAGAATGAGAAAGAGCTAATGCACATTGCACACATTGCTGAGCTGCTGGAGGTTTTTGACCTGCGGATGATGGTGGCAAACATACTTAACAATGAAGCCTTCATGAACCAAGAAATCACCAAAGCCTTCCATGTACGGCGCACAAACAGAGTCAAAGAGTGCTTGGCCAAAGGCACCTTTTCTGGTGAGTGGAAATCATTAATCCATGTCTGTTCATGTGTTCTGCTTGACATAGAGTGGATGCATGTGTAAGTAAGGTGCTATCAGTGTCTCAACTCTGTATTGCAGATGTAGTATTCAAGCTAGATGATGGTACGATCATGGCACACAAGCCTTTACTCATCTCTAGTTGTGACTGGATGGCAGCAATGTTTGGAGGGCCTTTTGTGGAGAGTTGCACCAAAGAGGTATGTCAACCTACATCACAATGGTTCATTGGGCTGTGAAATAAGACCAATAGAGCTCAAGTCAAGTCAGTATCGGGTAAAACATTTATTCCACATTGTTCACAATTTCCAGTGGCTTCTAGTAGTGGATTTATAAAGCAGTAGCATTTAAAATGTAATTACTTAAATATATATAATTATACAAAGCACACATCAATGCATGTACTGACCCAAGTAGAGTACCAATGAACTGTGTGGTCTGTGTACAAAGCATAATTTAATTAAGAGGATTGCAGGTCTGTTGTAATACAATTACGCTGGCTTCTGAGATGCAAACATACTGTAGTTGTGTGAGCTCAGTGACTTTGTTTTTCTACATTAGATGTTTAGATTTAGATGTGGCCATTTCAAAAGATCAAAAACTATGTGGCTCTTCTAAGCCAAAGACTGTCGCTGTTATTGTTGCTGCAGCTAAAAAAAGAGTTGAAAAAGTAAAAATGAAAAACACAGCCAGAGCCTTGGGTCGTGTGTCACATGTTCCTGTTTCTAAGGTGCTGTTTCCCAACACAACTCGCAGCTGTATGAGGGCTGTGCTGGAATATCTCTATACGGGGCGGTTTTGTTCTCGGCCAGACCTGGATGCAATGGAGCTTATCGTTCTTGCCAATCGTCTTTGCCTCCCCCACCTGGTTGCCCTTACAGGTATTACATTTGGTATAGTTATTACCCTGTAAACCACATGATTGTAATACACAAGCCATTGTGTGTTTCCAAGTTAATGCCTACAGTGACATTTCTTTCAGAGCTCTACACAGTCACAGTATTGACGGAGGCTGCGATGATGGGAGCTGACATTGATGGAGATGTGCTGGTGTACTTGGATATGGCCCAGGTAGTGTGAACTGTCAATCATCAGTCAACAGGGATGGCACTTAAAGTTCGCCTTGGCAAATTGGATATTTAGTAATGAGGGCATTTCTGCTGCTCTGGAGGCTGAAATAATCTTTACAACTAGTAGGATCTAGTAGGTAGAGCCAAACAGTTCACCAAACAGAGTGCAAGTCAGCTATTTGGCAAAATGAATGAATCTTCGGGGCAATATGCACCACTAAAGCACAAAAATAAAATATCCATTCAAAAGACCCTGTCTAGAAGAGCCCTGTGTCCGGGGGCCACCAGAGGGTTAATATGGCCCTGGTCAGATGTAGCTGCTTTATCAATCTCAACTATACTTTCTCACCTTCAGCTTTACTTTCTCAGTTGCCATAATAATCCTAGAATACTAAAATTAGATTGCTAATGCTAACATGCTAATGTTAGTATTAAGGTAAGTAAAGCTCATGAGTGCAGTTGATGAGCAACATCTTACATGTATTCAACACAGCTGACAAAGTACAGCTGAAACTGAAGCAAACTCTCACAAGATGTATACAAAGGTAGGGCCACTGTGCTCTTGTTAAACATAAATAAAGTAAAAAAAAAAATTGCATTCATACTTTAATGACTATGGCTTTTTAGTCCTGTCCATTTAGGTGCAGTTTAATTAATGAGGGACTGCATCTAAAGCAACAGCAAAACCCCACAGCAACAATGTGTCATGTTAAGAAACAGTCCACAATACAAACACGACAAATAATGATTTTGTATGTTGACAGTTCCACGGTGCCCAACAGCTCAGTGGTTGGTGTCTTCACCACATCTGCACCAATTACAACAGTGTCTGCCGCAAGTTTCCCAGAGAAATGAAGGCCAAGTCTACAGGTAACACACACATGATCTGGTAGCACACAAGTGCCTTTTAATGCCCTCTCATTCATAGTAAACATAAACCTGATACAGTACAGCAACCACTTGTGGTGCTACTGTACCTGAAGTCTTATGTGTCTTGTGTGGCCATTTGGAACATAACAGCGTGAAATTAAAACATGTTTAATAGGCTTTAAGGAAAGTCAGCCAATTTAAATGAAATCTGCCAAAGCAGATTAAGCTCAGTGGACCCATTCTGAGTTTTTTGCACTTCAGAAGCACAACAACTGTTTCATTGTATAATAAAGGACTCCTAATAGAATGGTTACTGCCTACACTGTACTGGTTTAATCAATAATCCAAAAAGACGATTGTACCATGTGGTTTTTAGGTGTCTCTTTTTTTAATGCAATAGCTTACTAACTCGCTTTTTTCCTTTATTTTACAGTAGTTGTAGTAAGAATTCCTCTGTAATGTCTTGTTAGCCTCTTTATTATTGAGAAAAAATATGTGAATATCACTTAAATGTGTTTCTTCCTTCTTGTAAGTGCTTAAAAGTGTTGCTGTGACCATGTTGAAATGCAAAACCTATTGTGGGTAAATGGTCTATTGAATGACTATTGAAATGGACTATTATTTTTGAAAATCCGACATAGCCTAGCATTTTCAAATTCCTACAACCGTTCATTCTGATACAGAGAACCAAGAATACTTTGAGAAACATCGCTGGCCACCTGTGTGGTACCTGAAAGAGGATGACCACTACCAAAGAGCACGCAAAGAGCGCGACAAGGAGGACTACCTGTACCAGAGGCGGCAGTGTAAACGCAAGTGGCTCTTCTGGAACCTTCCTTCCTCCCCTAATTCAAACTCTTCTTCTGGCTCATCCGCTGTCATCTGACCAAGTGGTAAGGCCAGCCCACTCTGAAGTACATCAGTGTGGATACAAGTTGTAAAAAGATACAATAGAAGATAAGCACGGCTGGCTAGAAACACCCCAATTGTTCAGGCACACTGTTTCTCTTCCTGTTAGTTTGCCTCTGTAGTCAAACGACACTCCTCCAGGTTTGCAAGGTTAGCTCAATCTGGCGGTTAAAGTAATACATTTTGTTACCTAGATTTTTAGCTTGATGTACATGAGATGCAAACCTCAGTGATATGAACCTCACTGACAAATGGCACAGTGTAACTGGCGCAAATAACAACTCACACTGATTGTTTACATGTTCCACTACCTGAGTTTTAAGTTTTAAAAATAGGACTCTGCTGGCACAGATCTTTCCATCTATGATCATAATTATCATGAATTAACCTGAACTGATCCAACCAAGTGCTGCTTATCAGCTGCAACAACCAGCAATTCAACACAGAACTTCTTAGTCTCAGAGATATAACACTTTGCCCTTAAGTGTTTGTACAATCTACCAAACTATTTGTACAGTATGATCTCATCAACAGGATGTAACAGTAGTATAACCTGCCAGGAATCATTTACTTTCACCACGCTGAATATGATTATGTACACATGAATGAAAATGCTTGACTCCTGTTTATTTTTGTTCAGTCAATCTACTTTTCAATGTTTGTGCAGACTTACACAGCTAAAAGTGGTGTGAGTCTGGACACACTAGGCATTTATGTATTGTGATCATGTGATTGGTGGCCTCTTGTCACAAAAGGGCTTTAGTTTACATGAATGCATTCGGTGTCCTGAGACACAAGAGATCCCAAAATCAAGGGAAATGGCTGTATTTTCTGTAAAATGCCAGCAAAAACCAAGCAGATCACTAATTTCCTGTGTTGCTTGACGAGGCTTGTTAGCGCACATGTTTCCTGAGTCCTTTAGTTTTACATTGAATGGTTTTATCAGCTTGATCACTGTCATCCTGGAAAGTAATGCATATTTCATCTCAGAGTCAATAGCAGCATTTCGATAGCTGAAGCGACCATGTGTACATTACCATCCGTCTGTGACAGTGTGTTTGACGCATCTGTCACTAGTGGTGATTTGGCCTTTAGAGATGTATTTTGGTTGATAAGAGGATGCCCCCTCTGATTGTCTGCAATTGGCTGTGTAAGACTTGTACATGAAGGAGGCTTCCTCATGCCCCAGGCTTCTACACACCTTGAGCACTTTCTGGACTCTTCTCCACAGAGACACACACCACCAGTAGCAGCAGCCTGGTGATCGGCACTAAAGACAGTATGGTGTCATTACACACTCTGGCAAATGTTAAAAAAGGAACTGAGGAAGAAGGAACTGAGGAGGAAGACCATGATATTTAAAATGTTTCAAATATGAATATAATGTTTTGCATACCTCACAGTATTTGTTCAAGATTGTCATCTACTGTTGTACTTGATTGTAGGATGGACTTGTAAGCAGGGTCCTCAGTAAAGATGGGTATTGTAAATTGTACAAAATATCAAATGAACCGCAAGTAACTTGCATCACTCTAATGTGCAGTTACCTAATGTTTTGCACTGCAGGCAGTGGTCGTACAGTATTACTGAGTAATACATATACTGAATATAGACTTGACTTATCCAACTTGCATTTAGTTACTGTGCAGCTACAAACTGTTGTTGAAAATAACTGAATACTCATTGTGCTGACCTCCAGTTACATCTGTTATATACTGTAGTATACATGCATTTACAGGCAGTTCAAACCAACCGTTGACTAATAGTAAAATAGGATAACAGTGCAAAGTAAAGTAGACATGTTTATATAAATGACATTATAAAGACGTATGGTACATCCATAAAACATGTCACGTCAAAAAATCTAATAAATAATTCTTATTGCAGCATTTGCTTTTGCAGCATATGTTAAAGAAAGGCTCGCTTTAATCCTGAATATGATTGGTTATACTTTTCCATGCAGTTTTTGATTAGACATATATTTAGAGCCCAACAAAGGGCTTAAAACAATATAGTGGTAAGAATCAATTCAGTGACATAACCAAATTCTTGCTTGTATTAACTCATAACTCTAATAAGGACACTGCATGAACAGGGCTCGCCAAACTAAAATAACAAACTAAAATAACAAACTAAAATAAAATTGTAGTAAAAAGTTTATTCATTGGCATTTAAAATGTAAGATGTAGATCAGTGGTAGTGCTGGTGCTCTAAGCAGTAGCTTTAAATTTTTCTCAATTACATTAACTTTTGCCAATTGCTAAGTAAACACAAGAACTATTATTTTGAATATCTTAATTGATCAGTTCTTTTGGCACACATGGTCAGACATTAGGCAGAGCCTTCAGGAGTATTGTACTCTTTTAGAGACATCTTTATCCTAATTCTGAATGTTTTTATTTATTAGACCATCTGACTAATAAATAATAATATCCAATTTTCACACAAAATACAGCTTATTGTAATAGTTTAACAGCAGCATTTGCCTTGGTGGTGTGATTGATAAATTGCATAGACATGCATTTCATTCCACAGTGCATTTCATTTCTCAATCATTTTTCTGATGTTTTGCATCAACAACACCTCATGCCTTAATGTACAGTGTAGTGTATGGTATTGAATGTAAAGTAGTGTTACTGTGGTTACTAGTTTGTTTGCTGTATGTTCAGTTACCATGGTGCTCTCTAGGCTGTGTGTATTTGTAAATGTATAATCCATCATTTGGATGTAAAGCAATCAATGTATTGTTTGGGGACTTTGATGAGCGTGCTTTAGTTTGAACACTGCATAGGTTTTATGTCCTTTTAAAGCTATAAAGAAACAAAAAACTAATTAAAGACTTTGACCATCAAGGCCACACTAGACTAACATAATAACAAACCATCAATTTGTGACATTAACCATGAAATGAATGCAGGGATTTAAAATTTGTTTCATTATTTTAAAGTTGCTAAATGCTATTGAGCTCTAATTTTAGAGTCTGCATAATTAAAAAATGATGAAATAACGTGGCCATTGGAAGTTAGATTGTAACTCAGTCATGTAAATATAAATTGTGTGATGACTTGGAATTCAGACTTGGCATAGCAATTGATACAAGCTATTGCGTAGTTTAACATAGATACTGTTTTTGTACTATGCATACTGAAATGTGTCTGACTTTGAAACTACAAACTTGCACTGCTTTGTAGCACCAGGTTAAAATTGCATTAGGCAGTATAGCAACATCATTAGATACCTAGACAACATCAGGTAAAAAAAAGTTTTAACATAAATTAAAAAGAAGTTGTCACTGGGGCCCTTTTCCATATGTTTGGGTGCTAATATCACCGCTGCAGAGAAGCACAAACCAAAGGGAGCTTTAGCAGCACCAGGAATATATTATATATGCTGCACAATCACTACTGCATAGTTTAAGAGGCCTTGTTCCGAAATGGTTGAAAATGAAATAAATAAATAAAAAAAACAATAAATGAAAAGAAAAAAAACTTGAATGTTTATCTCAGTGTTCAAAGCCTAGATGACATTTTCCTTAGTCATCAGGTATTTTTGTTCTCAAGAGCTGTTTTTATTGTTTGGGAGCTGTAAATCTGAAATTCTGTAGCATGTGTTCTTGGAAATGTGTAAATAGTATTTACTAAATAAAAAAGGATCGACATGTGCATTTTGGTATCGCGCCAGTCTTTTTTTAAATGTCATATGAAACTTTTGCAGCCTCATAGGTCAGTAGGATCCTGCCCTGCGCAGAGGCAGCAGCGACAACTGCGCCTGAACCAGAAGGACAAGAAACCTGCAGCAAAACACAAGTGGACAACTTCCCGAGAGATGGTAATGTGAATCGCAGATGAATGTAGTGAGATTTAACGTCTGTCCTCTGTCTCAACGGACAGTTAAGCACTTTACCGTCCGTGTTGACCTCTATGGTGTTGACACGTAGCCTAAAGCGTGATGCACTGCATAACGTTACATGTAAACAATTAGCTAAAACAACTGTAGGCTAACTTGGAGCTAATAATTTACTGCAAATCAAATTACCTCTAGAATGTTCTTCAGGAAGAATATGTAATTGTTTAATATAACTATCGCTATCTATCAGGAAATAAATAACTGAAAGTACTAACAGGAAAGGGCGTCTCATCTCTCCTGTGGCAGTATAGCATATAGTCACAATGCAGGGACGCATTAGCCGCAATTTCTTGCAGTGTGTCGCGTGACGCACATTTAAATATTGTGAAGGATTCAACAGTGACATTGAAATTATAATTGTGCTGCTGATGTGTCTGGGTAGTCCAACAGGTATGGGCAGGGTCAGGTGTCTAAATAGGCTCTGACTGACAGGTGGAATAGACTTGAGCTATTCTTCTTCCTAAACTTTTCTGGTATCAGCCTCTGAAATCTTAAGGTGTCCTGCTTGTCTGTGCCTTATATGATACTATTCTTAGTATCATTAGGTCTTCTTTTGCTCTGGGAACTTCTTTATGGCATTTTAAACAATTTAGACATTTTATAGACTAAGCAATTAATCAACAAAGTATTGTCATAATTTATTGTAATTGTTAGTTGCAGGCCTGCATTGAAGCTGGAAATAGGTAGAACGTGGGTTACAGTTGCTTTCCGCTATTGCCAAACACAATTTCTTTTTACTGTTCAGGAGCTATACTGCTACTGACAGATGAATGAAATATAACTGTTAATTATTAGAAATGAAAACTGTCAGCATGGACAGGCCTCCTTTGACCCTGACGTAACTGGCTTTTTCAGTCAGAGTATATTGCTCTGAGTGACTTAAATAAATAAACTGAACAAAAACTAGAAAATAAGTGACTAACCGAATACTGCTGTTCTGCAGGCTGTGCCGGCACCGTTTCTGGTGTTATGTGCTTGTGTTTTGGGGTTTTACCATGTGGAAGCAACACCAGACACCCTGAGCTCTCTGGATCTGTCCTTCTGTCAGTAAGTTGCCCACAAAGCTGTGATTCTAGTGTAGTTGCATACACAAAATGAACATGGCAAAGACAAAAGAAACTGAATTGAAGCTTCATTTGCTCACTCAATGTTGCACTTGAGGAGTGAGTTTCATCTTTTATCTCTCTTCAATAAAGCGGCGGACTAGAGGTGATCTATCCAGAACTGCTCATTGATGAATGCCTCATTATTCCAAAGGACCTGAAACTCAGAGAAAGAGAAATGATCAGCACCGTTTGGAAAGCCCCCCAGATTTACTTCTCTGGAGCACACAAGGTAAGGTGTGTGTGTGTGTGTGTGTGTGTCAGTGTTTTTAAGTTGTTTGCGGGGTGGGTGTCAGAGCAATTAAAAATTTATAGTAGGCCTGTATTTACGTGTGCAGCAACTTTAATTCCACCACTGTGGGTTATTAAATAAGAGATATTACCCAGTTTTTATTTTTAAGTAGTAGTCTTAACTGTCACAGAAGACAAATATTTTGCATGTTCTAAACGGATATCCACTGGTTTATCGGCTCTTAATCCTACATACTGCAGATTTTAGTCCTCAGCCCTTTGTGTCTGCTTATCATCTCCTCCTCTCTTATTAAACAGAAGAGTAGTCTTCAGACAAAGCTGTTTGAGCTTTTTGTAGGCTTCTTGGGGCCTTTCTGACATGAGGCTGTATGCAAAACTTTGTGTTTGCGTGATCAGTGTTATTTGGCAAACATGTACATGCGTATTTTTAACACTAGAGTGCAGTGATGGATAAGATATGCAGCATCTCTACCTCAGCAGAACAGGCTTTAAGTTATTGTCACAAGAAACAAAAGGTTCACACCATATTGAAAAAGTCTAAGCATGAAATAACATTTCTGTAGTATTTTAAATGTCCGGCTGTTCTTTAGATTTGAGCTTCTGTGCCACCTTCTTTAAACTGATTACTGAAACTCTGTAGTAATCTTTGTCACCAGAGGGTGGTGCTAGCACATCATACTTGATGAGCAAGCGTGTTCAACCAAGTTAATGTCCAATATACAGTTCATACAATTCAGAATGTCAGATAACGTTCATTGTAAAGTAGATAATACTGTCAATGATGTTCTTATTTCACTCACTGATTTTGATGGGTAAATGCTTGAATCTCTGTGAAGCTGCTAACAAGAAATGTCCATCTACAGTTAGGTGTCATTACAGTTATTATATTAAAATGTCAGCAGACAGCACACAGAGCTGTGCGTGCTTTAGAGGACCAGTGTATGAACCAGTATTCTTTTGTGTTAACCCATGTTTGATAAAAAAAAATAATTTTAAAACTCAAACAATGACCCTAGGACTAAAATAGATTACTAATGGTAATTCATTATCTGAAGGATTAGACTGTAATTGAAAGTAGCGCAGAAAAACTACAGTTTATTGTTTGAGTGTCTAAACATTTGCCATCAGAATGACATTTGCTCATGATAAAACAAAGGAAATGCTTCAAAGAAGAGAATGACATTGACATTACAGCCCTGAAATAACTTCTATACCACATAAACTGAAACTGAACTGAAGTTTGGAAAATGGGTTGACAGTACATGAAGTAGGGCTTAAATGACGTTTAGTATGTTCCTCTTAAAATACTTACTTTTGTCATGCAGGATATAAAATTATCACATAGAGTCATTGATGATGATCTGTGTAATATTCATTTATTTATATATGGATTTTTCAGAGGGTCATGTTTAGTATACTTTTATTGTTGAGCATCAAATTGAGAGGGACACAGTTCCCAATCCATAGAACCGCAGCTGAAGTTGACAATGAAATCACACCAGACGCACACCAAATCCTATATCTGTAAATTGAAAACTTAAATTGAAAGCCACCTCGATTTAGGAGGTAGTTTATGAATTCCAGAGCTAAGCAGTCTAGCTTGAACATGATCTATTGCCCTTCTCTCTCCCAAACTCCATTTGATCTATGGTCGTATTATCTATAATGCTGTCTTACATGATTCTCTTTTATTGCCAGAATCAGTGTCAGACAGCAAAACAGATTACATGTTGGACTGAATCAATACAAACTTTATTTACTGGGCGTTGAAATGTAATTCTCCATTTCTCCTGACAGTTAAAGTAAACACGCACTAAACACTGTGGTTGGTCTGCTAGTCCACCACGCTTTCTGTCACCACGCCATGCTGCCAGCGCTGCTGCTATTCTCTGCCACTCAGCCCTTGTACCCAGTAGTAGGAATACAGAATAGTGGCCGCTCATGCTCAAATCCACCCACTACACCACCCACTTCATTACTGGGACGGGATGCAAGCTTGCTGAGTAATTGTAATGGAGCGCAATGGGCAGTAGTCCCATAAACCCGCCTCTAAATAGGTTCTCATAACCAAAAAACAAAAAACAAAAGCAAAGGGCCACAGAAACTGCATATTTCTGTTTTCAAACTTCAGAGTAACGATTCACCACTTGAACTATGTGTGTTTAATGAAGAATTTTTAGAAGTCCTAATTACACTCCTTAAAGCCTTAAGAGCGTCTACAGTTTGAAGCAAGTGGGATGTGTATTGACTAATGAAACTAAACTAAAACAACATGACTTGGTTACAGTTAGTCTCATAAATAAAGTTAGTAATCAAGATCTGAAATTAAACAGATCTAACCATATTTTTGGAATAAGTTCAAAGTACTGGTTGATGATGGTGGCCATCAAAAGTTTTAAATGTACTTTCCATCAAGTTTTCTGAATAAATTAACCTACAATTTAACTACTACAACTCTACAAAGAAAAACAGAAGAAAATGAAACTTTCGTCTCCTGTTGAAGGTATAAAATGCTGTACCATGATTGTAAGAAACTTCAGGATAGAGCTGGTGTTTAAAGGGGAATGCTTAATATATAAGTCTCCATTAGAATTTAGTTACGCTAAATGTTAAACACCAGTAAATTCTCTGAAACACTAATAAATGAGTATACCCAAGCAGAGCTACAAATGATCACTTAACAGCTTTTCTTCACTATAGTTGTAATATTCAAGATTATATAGCACAGCAATCTCATGATTAGTGTCTTTCTGGAAATTAAGGTCAAACATGTGTCATGCTCCAGTCTCATACCCTGATGCATTCTCTTAGTAGGAACCAGAAGTATCTGTAAACTTCAGTGTAGTCAAGTATAATTGTTAAAACAATTGCAGTGACAAGCAGAAGACACCCTAATATGCTAATTCATATGTCATATTTGACATATACACTGTAGGAATGACCCTTGACACAGCTAGATAATAATGATACCAATTAGTATTTGACCTCTGGGAGTGAGACTTAGATTAGAAAAGTAGGTTTCACCCTTGTAAATGACCCGCTCAGCGGGTATAACGTGAGAGCCAATGCACTGCTGTCATGACATTGTTCCTGACTTTCCAAACTAACTCTTTGTTTATATTTATTTTAAATCCACACTGACACCTTGCTGTCTAAAGTGTCTTTGAAGACACTGTTGAATCATAGTAGTGAAGAAAATGCTTTTTTGTACATTAGACTGCAACAACCTTAGCGTTGACTGTTAATTATTTAATAAATATGCAGATTAACCAGGACTGCTGGAAGGAGTTTCAAAATGTTGAAAGGATGTAGCGACCCCTTGTCCTGTTTAAAATCTAAAGTCAAGATTATGTCTTAAAATGTCAAATTGCTTTTAGGAATTATTTTTTTCCCACAGAAAGGA